AAGCTGGGGTAGCAATATTCATATCAGACAAAGTAGACTTTAAAACAAAATCTGTAACAAAAGACAAAGAAGGGCATTATATAATGATGGGGGATCAATACAAGAAGAGCATACAACATTCATTAAAATATATGCACCTAATATAGGAGCACCTAAATATATAAAGCAAGTATTAACAGACATAAAGGGAGAAACTGACAATAATACAATAATAGTAGGGGACTTTAACACCCCACTTACATCAATGGACAGATCGTCCGGATAGAAAATCAATAAGGAAACAGTGGTCTTGTATGACACATTAGACCAGCTGGACTTAATAGATATCTACAGGATATTCTATCCCAAAACAGCAGAGTACACATTCTTTTCAACTGTTCTCCAGGACAGATCATATGCTAGGCCACAAAACAAGTCCCCCAAAATTTAACAGAATAGAAATTATATCAAAACAAAAACACTAATTCGAAAAGATACATGTACCCCAATGTTCACAGCATTATTTAGAATAGCCAAGATATGGAAGCAACCAAAGTGTCCATGAAGAGACGAATGGATAAAGAAGATGAGGCATATAAATACACATACATATACACAGTGGAATATTACTCAGCTATAAAAAAAGAATGAAAATTTGCCATTTGTAACACCATGCATGGACCTGGAGGGTATTACGTTTAGTGAAGTAAGTCAACAGAGAAAGACAAATACTGTATGCTATCATTTATACGTGGAATCTAAAATAATAAAACTGAATGAATTTTAAAAAAATACAGAAACAGATTTACATATATAGAGAACAAACTACTGGTTACCAGTAAGGAGAGGGAAGGGAGGAGGGGCAAAATAGGGTCAGGGGATTAAGAGGTTCAAAATACGACACGTAAAATAAATTAGCTACAAGGATATATTGTACAGCACAGGGAATACAGTCAATATTTTATAATAACTTTATATGGAGTATAATTTACAAAAATATTGAAATGCTATGTTGTGCACCTGAAACTAATATAATATTGTAAATCAACTATACTTCAGTATTTTTTTTAAAAGATGCAAGTTCTGCAGTATGCAACTTGAGTTTTTACCAATTATGTTCTAGGACGATAAACCATTCTTTGAAGAAAAAATTCTACTCATACATATTTTTTCAATTATCTTCCATTTTCCATCCTCATTTTATCTTCACTGTCACTACCCTTTTCCAGGCAATCATCATTTCCACCTGGACTTCTGCAATGGTCTCCTAATAGTTGTTCCTCCTACTCACAGTCTCGAAGCTCCCAGCATTCTTCTACCCTACTTTCCAAAACCTTTACTCACAGATTCAAAGTCCCTTAACTCCTTCTTCCTTATTTATCCTCCTCTCTCACACCTTCCTCTTTCACCAAAGCCACTGCCCCCAACACACCCCTACGTCTATAATGATTAACATTGTACTTTCCAGGTCCTAGAACAATGGATGCACTCTTCTGCATCACATCTTTTCACACACTGTTCCTTTATTGAGACTGTCCATCTCCTCCTGCCTTCACCTGATTTTTACTTATCCTTCAGACAACAATTAAGGTACCTTTTTCCTGGGGATCTTTCCATGACACCCTAAGCTGGGTTATGTGCTCTTTATCTCTTTAGCACTTAACAATCTGAAGTTATTTTGCTCTCTGTTACCTCTCTCTAAATTGTAACTCCCATGAGAGCTGGGGCTGCTTTACATCTTGTTCACCACTCTATTCCTGTTACTGTTAAATTCAGAAATCCTTATTTTGTTAATAGAAACGGGTAAAAATTAGAACAGAGGAGTCAATCGCAGTGAAAGAATTGTAATTCCACTATACTGACTGCACTGACAATGGGCTCAATCAAAAATATTCATTGCCCACCATGTCTTTTTTTATTGTGTGAGCATTATAGGACTTGGACTCAGAAGACCTTAGGCAATTTCCTTTCACCTTCTCTGAATTTTTTTTTTTCCTTTTCTGAAACTTTTTCTTCATTTCTTTAATGGCTTAAGCAATACCTATATGAAAGTGATATAGGAGAACTGATGAGAGGAGATTAAAGTGAAAGACTTTTGTAAAACCAACAATGGTACATATACATACATATCATTATATACGTATATGTATCACTGACTAATCCACGTTGCCCAAAGTCTAATGGCTTATTTTTAATCCATCACTGCGTTTTACTATTAATTTCCAATATTTTAATAAGGCACAGGATAAACACAAATTTACCTTTCCTGTTCTGAAGTCTAAAACCCTTGTTTTAAAACCTTTGTCATCCAATATCAATTTTATGAGCAGATCCTTAAGTATTATACTTGCTATTTATTAAATTAAAATTCTTGATTCCTTTACTAAAGTAAGAAATGATTGGTTTTGGCTAAGGGCCACACTAACATTGTAAGAGTTCGTTATTTCATTTGAAACAAAGAAAAACAACAAAAATTTTAAAGGAGAGTACTATTTCTCAATGAAACATTATATTCAGGATTTCTACCACAATTAAAAGGCTTCACTTTTCAGAAAGATTCTTTTCTTTTAAAAAAAAGAGAGGAAACAAAGTCATAAATTTCCTGAGGTGAAAACATATAATAAACATTGTCTTATTCCCCAGTGTCCAAAATGGTGAAATAAATGGATATATATGATAAATATAAATGGAAATGGTACATTCTCAATGAATGTTTATTATGATTGTTGCAGTTCAGTTATTCAGCATATTATACTCTCTGCTAAATAATGTATGTTGAACTGAAATAGTGAGACCAAGGACAACTAGCTCTTTTAAGCCAAATTCAAGAAGCTGTTAACACCAGCACATAAGTTCTACAACTGTTTAAAATACTGAAATGAGAAGATGAAAATAAATGAAAAAGTCAAACCCCAAAATCTCTCATATGCTTTCAATACTATATTTTAAAAGTATCAGTTATAGATAATATCAACCAAATACTTTTTCCAGCAAGGAGCTATTGTGTGGGCAGAATACTGACTTTTGCAAACACCTGTCAGTCATTTAAGGGGGTCAGGATCTATTAGTTATTTGTACATATCTTAGATGCTAGGCATCATAAACCAGGTATAGTCATCATGAACCACGTATAGTCACGGTGGACTTATAAAAAGCTAGTCACATTCTTGCAAAGTAGGTTTTATGATAAACACACCACAAACAGAAACTCTCACTAGTACTGAGGGGCAAAATCCAGCTGGGTTTCTTTATCCCTAACCCCAGCTTCAGCTGCAGGTTTTTTTCCAGTAAGAACAGTAGTTTGATTTACTCAACACTGTAGAAGTCAGGGTGTGGTCACCCTTCTCCAAATAATATTACAAATGGATTTTCCCTGAACTCTTGCAGCAACAGAATCTTTAAGTGGTTACTGGTAGGAAAAGGTGAGATTGAGGTCAAAATGTCTGAAAAATAAAAATTAACAAAAGCTTTCAAGGACCACCCTAGAGACAATGGAAGCTGGGGTATTACTGAGACGACGGAGGTAGTACAGCACAGAACACGAATATTTTTTAAGCTTTCAACATGGAGCCCCAGTAACAGCTGAACATAAGGTTTTGCCAGCTCTCCTGCTGAGTACTGACAATTTTATCCCAAATTAATCCAGTATACTAATAACCATGCCAAATACAGATCAATCACATTTCCTTCATCATCATCATCATAAGAGGGCTAAATGGGGACGTTCCTAGTGGTCCAGCGATTAAGAATCCCTCTTCCAAAGCAGGGGACATAGGTTCAATCCCTGGTCAGGGAACTAGGATCCCACATGCCGAGTGGCAATAAAGCAGGGCAACAGAGCCCGCACACACGCCAACTAGAGAGCCTGCGCGCCACAACTAGGGAGAAGCTAGCGCACCCCCAACGAAGAGCCTGCGCACTGCAACGAAAGCCAAAAATTATTTTAAAAAAATAAAAAGAACAGAACTAAATGTAACATCAAATTCAGAACAACCAATGAAACGTTTCCTTCAGCGTTTCTAAAACACTACGAACTAGAGAGATCGGGAAAATCAGACCAAGGAAGCCTTTTCTAAGTCAGGGATAAATGGGAGTGTACTTAATAAATTATTAAGTGTACCCCTTCTCCCTGGCTAGCTGACAGAGTAGAAACGGACCGCTATCCGCAGGTATGCACCCTGGCTCGCACGGTCTGTGGTTGCATCCCCCAGACGGCCTGGCTACTCTAAAATAAACTCTACGTCGACGCCATTTGCTCTGCCTGACACCTGGAACTAGCATTATGTGCCCACCATGTGCCAGGGACAACGCTCCACACTCCCTTCTCGTTACCTTCGAAGCACATTCTGTGCGCTGACAAAGGAAACTGAGGCCCAAGCTCACACAGGGGCCCTGGCACTAAACCACCGTGTAACTCATCTTGTTGAAATGAGGGCAAGGGCGTGACTCAGATGCTCTAAATACTCACTAGGCCGGTAGTATTTGTGACGTTAACTCTTTTCTTCGGGGCCACTCGCAAGCTGCAAGCCCTCTAGAAGGGTGGGGAAACTGAGGCCAGGCTGTGACACGCCAGACGTCACAGAGCCGGTGGCGGGCAGACAGAGGCCTCGAAGGCTGACCTCTGCGAATCTCAACGTCCGTTTAACACTGCCCAGATCTTCTGCTTGGCTTACTCGGCCCTGAAATCTCGCAGGTTTTCAGGGGACGGGACCTGGGCCGAGTCGCTCCCTCCCGGATCGTTTTCCCGTCAGCAGCCTCCGTCGACACGGGAAAGCGGTAGCCCGCCCGCCGGCCCCACCCGCCACCAGCTGCAGGGCACCGCGCCAGACACAGGTTGCCTGTTCCCAGGCACTACCTCCTCCGCCTTCACCCCTTTGCCGCCTCCGACCTCGCCCTAGCCCTGCTGTGCGCCTGCGCGCCCAGGCCCTAGAGCCCGTGGGCCGGCTGCTCACGTGGGCCTGCACCTGGCCCCGCCGCCTACAATGGAAAGGCGGGGCCTCGCGCTCACCACGCCCCCTCGCTGCCCAGCCCCCTCGAGGGAGCGTTGCAGCCTTGGCCGATTCATTACCCCTCTCGCCCAGCCGGCCGCGCCTACTTGGCCGCGTGCTGTGTGCGCGTGCGCCAGGTCGGGATTTGGAGGGGGTCGGAAGACTGTTGCGCGGCCAAGGCCGCGAGCTCTACTGGAAGGCGGGGGACGGAGGCGTCCGGGCAGGCCTGGATGGGGGAGGGGGCGTTAACTCGGAAAAGGAAGGAAGTGGGTGTCACGGGCTGCACACCCTGCCCTTTTGGGGTTGTCAGACGAAGGTCAGAAAGGACTGCTCCAGATTTCCCCATTTCATGTCTAAATGCAAATCTCTGGAACCCTCACTAACTCCTTCATGTCATGAACCTCAACAGTTCCTTCAGAGCAGCACACCCTTTAGTAATGATCATCTCTAGAGCATTCTGTGGGCAGAGTCTCTTCCAGTAGGAGTAGCAGGCTCAGAGTGACGCTCTCTTCCGAGGGCACCCACCCGGCCATCGGCCTGCCTTAGAGGCCTGTCCAGGTCACGCATACAACTCTAGTGACACTTAGACTTCTTCCATTAACGTAACCCAATGACAGGTGTTCTTGTGCAGCCTTCTTGTGTATGGTCATACGAAGAAAAATACAAGGCTAGATGTAGACTGCGATGTTAGATTCAAAACCTGAAATATGTGCCTTATGTCAGTTGTGTATTCTCTTATGGCATGAGTCCCTCGATTAAGACATATGTCCCTTGAGAACTAGCTTTTTGTTGTTTTTAACACGACTTAGAAGCTGTCATGGCCTAAGTTGGGGCATTCCTGATACAGGACTTAGGTGAACATCTGTCCCCCATTTGTCATATTTGTCCCGTGGACAGTTTTTTTAGGTTGATAACCTGGGTGCAAATATAATGGGGAAATAGCTTCAGATCTGCTCCTCTACCCCCAAATTTCATTTCCTGGTTGCTAGAGAATAGGAGAAGGATTAAGGAACAATGAGAATTGAACCAATAACAAAAAGCATTACTGCTTTGAGGTCTTAAAATTCTGGTTCATCTTTGCCACTTCTCCCCCAAAGATTTTAGAAGGTGACTGTTCATGGATTGATTTTGATCACATGTTTCTTCATAACATTTGAAAGAGTATCCTTCCTGCATTTGGGTTTGTAGGGGCCTAAACTGAAATTTTGACAGAATGGAAGCACTGGAAATGGGTTGTGAGGGGAGACAGTGTGGGATATTAAGGAAGCGAGGATAAGAAGATCCTAGTTGGTGGAGATAACAGAGAGAGCTTAGAGAAAGAATGAAGACCAAAAACATGGAGTGGGTGGCAGATCTAGCAGATTATTCTGATAGTAATGATAAGCTGCATTCTTGAGCATGAGGATTTGTATATTGCTTATGGTGACCAAAAAACATGACTATTTTCTCATTTGAGGACTCCTAAGAGTTCTGGCAATAAAGTAGAAAGACGTAGGGAGGGGTGAGAGTTTAGTGCCAGAATGATCATCTGGGATCCAGCAGATCTCAGTGCACATTGCTTTAGTGTCCCCACCCTACCCCCAACTTGAAAAATCACGGACTAGGGTAAAGGAGTAACGGGGTAGGATACACAGGGCTCTGCGTGTACCTGGATGCTGTTGTGGAAATTCCTGGAGCAGGTATAGCCAGTAAGGGCTCACCTGCTATGTCTAACTGAGGCCTTCAAATTGGAAGGCACCTGATAACTTACTAAATGATGAGCTCCTTAAGGTAAAGACCCTGTGTACCCACTGTAGATCTTTTCCATCCTGAACCTCCCAAATAATGATCAATGATCTAGTTTGGGGCGTCCTTGTGGCAACCTGTAGTTCTCCTGAAATCAAGGGTTTGAGACTGCTTGCTGAAGGAATTGTATATTTCACAAGTATAAAGCCCATAGTTGAAGATTTTTAAAAACACAAAAAAACCTGTTTCAGTTCACTTTGGGGGTGAGGGGGTAGGTCTCATCTTGCAGCAGGTGCAGATTGTTCAACACAATATTCAGAGAGGTATTCAAATGGCTCCACTATTTTGTCAAATCCTAGTTCCAGGGTCCCTACTCCAGCTCCCTTCAGAGCCCTAATGCTTCCTGCTCCTTGTAAAAGATAAAAACTCAGTTGTAAAACTGAACAGCATTTTGACTTCCCACCCCGTGAGGCTGAAAAGGAGGAAGAGGTGGAAGGGGAAGGTAGGTTGTACCAGGAGCAAAGTCCTGAAGATAGAAGAATAAGCCTCAAAAGCTGAGATCCTAAGGTGATTGATTAGTTAGCCCGTCCAGAGCTAAAGGTTAAACACAGGCTAACAACAGCCCAGAGGAGAACAATTGGATAATTCATTAATTGTGTTTCTGTTTATATACCCTCCCCCACCCCTCACTTTCTAGGCTAATGTAGGTTCTGTCTGGATTAGAGGCAAATTTTTGGAACTAGACAGGATCTTGGAGCTCATGACTCATTCTCCACACCTGGCATGTGAATAAACAGGTTAAGCACTAACAGGTGACTTGGCCAAAACCACACAGCTAGTTAGTGGCAGAGCTAGGATTAGAACCCCTCTCTCCCTCTTCAGAGCCAATTACTCTTCCCGTTTGTCTCCTAAATGGCCAACAATTTCTTCCCACCCTGTATGTGCACGACACGCCATCCTTCTACAGGTAGCGTCTCTTTTTCCTCCCCTTGACTTGGTTTGTGACTTCATTTAACCAGTAGGATGCAGTGGAAGCGACATTCTCGGACTTTCACGCTCAAGCCCTAAGAGGTCTGGCAGCTCCTGCCTTCTGCTCTGGGAAGTCAGCCTCCATGCATTAAAGAAGCTTGGGTTACATTGCTGAGTGATGAGACACAGCACATGAGTGGTGAGGCAACGTGCAAGAGAGGCCTTCGTGGACCTTCCAACCCAGCCCAGCCACAAGGTGAAGGCAGCTGAGTGAGTGACTCCCACCAAATCACATGGAGCAGATCTACCCAGCTGACTACTATCCCCATTCCTAACCCAGAGAATCACGAGAAGCAGACACTAAAAGACCACGACATCCTCTGCCTTCCTCTGTTCACTCGATTATCATAATTAAGAAATCAAGACATTAGACTATGGTTAGGCTTCAGAAGAATATCAAGGAAGCTCGTCAACCAAACGGTTCCATGTTTGTCAACAGCTCTCATCAAGACAAGGTGGTTTTCTGCTTCAAACTTGACACTAACACTGTAAATGACAGTTTATTAATTTGCTGGTCAAACAACCTTGCTATGGGTATATTAACTTTTACTTAGCATTTAACTCTAACAAAATTTTCTCCAAATCCTAATGTTCTCTAATGACGCATCCCAGACCACCAGAAAACTTAGTAGCATAACACTGCTTTGCTCAGTACTTTGCAATTTGGGCAGGGCTCAGCGGGTACAGCTGGTCTCTGCTCCACTCAGCATCAGCTAGGGATGGTTTGAAGGCGGGTTCTCCTGTGTCTGGAGGTTGGTGGTGGGAAGAAGGCTTGAACAGCTGGAGGCTAGAACTGTCGCTAAGGAGCCTCCCATGTGGTCTCTTCAGCAAGGTGGCTTCAGGCTAGCTGGTACTCTCACAGGTGCGTCTTAGGGATCCTAAGACAAAGTTGTAAGAAAGGAATCCCAGCAGGAGCTTTGTCAATTTGCATGACTTAGCTTTGGAAGTCAGGTGACATCCCTTCGGCCCTGTCATTAGCCCACCCATATTCCAGGAAATGGGACATAGGCCCCACCTGTTGATGGAGGGATGCCATGTCACGCTATTAGGGCATGAGGGAAGGACATGTGTTTGGAAAACACAACCCCGCCTCAGCTTCTAAACCCTGCATCTGAATTTCACCCTAGGGATAAAATCTTGATAGAAAAACTAATTCCAGGAGCTTTGGCTTAAAAAAAAAAAAAAAAAGTTATTTCAATTTGCAAACCCTATGAGAGCTAATTCATTTTTCCTATAGATGTGTTAGTTTGGAGGCTACAGTTTAATCTCCTTCCCCAGGTTTTTCAGAACTGGGGAGAGGAGGATATGAATAATCTATTACGGCTGTTTTGTAAACCCCTCACCTCTTAAAAAAAATCGATTCACTGCTTACAGTTGAAACAAGTAGGGTATCCATGGCAAGGTTGCTCTTGTGACCACATATTTTAAAGAAAATTAGTTTTGTCTGTTCTGTAACAAGTTGTGGATGACTACTAATAACTTATGTTTCTACATCCACGTGCCTGCAGGCACGTTCAGTGTGGATTCGTTCAGGAATCTTTTATTCCTAATGGATTTCTAGCTTCTCAGCTCAGCTAACCTGGTATCATTTTTTTTAACACCTGGCAATGTCACACCAAAGGTATGTGGTGCCTTTTTAACTGTTGCCTAGCAACACTCAAATGGTCAGGACAGGAAGCAATGTGTGCGGTATCTCACTGCAATTCTGGTAGGCATCATTCTGTGCCTAAGACTTAAATTAGCCAAATTGAGGTTTTTTGTGTGAACAGCAAAACTAACATTTCTATTACTGCAAAAACATGCCCTGGGACATGTACCAATCAGAGAAAAGCTGTTATATTTCTATGGCATTTTGTAGTTCTTTTGAAATTGTCAGAAGTAAAAATAAATATCCAGTAGAAATTAGCCATATATTCTTTGCAGATTATTATGCCTATATTAAATACTTCTCTATCTGTGGTCCAACCGTTAAACCTAGTTTTTCCAGCTTATTTTCCTAAACTATGTTTTCATCATAATTCAAAGCTATGATTTTATGAAGCTTTTAACATTAGCTTTCCATACTATCTCTGTAGATTCCACTTTGAAGTTTACCAGGTAGTCTTCTCAACAAGGTGATTTCAGAGATTTTGCTGGTCAACTGACTCCTAACATTTCACTCCTATAAATTAAAGTTACCACTAACAGAATCCATCAGTGAACAAAATATCTTTAATAATGTGAGTTATTACCCTTTACTTATTGGGAACGTTTCACTGACATAGTCTATCTCTCTTAAAGCTGAGCGGTCCAAGAATACTTTTGCAAGAAACACAGCAGAAGGACGGGTGACACTGTTTCTAGCCGAAACATTTTAACATTTCAGTTCATTGTAAAAGAAATGAATTTGTTTTTAAAACTATATTTTAGGAAAAAGAAAATTGGGTTACTTGTCCAAGAATGGTTAACACAAAAAATGCTGCGAGGCGTTAACTTTTATCTTGTAAAAGAAATGAAACTGCTAAGAAGAATCACAGAGTGCATCTTTGTCACAAGCTGATGAGATGCATTACTTTTCAAGTAGTTTAAGAAGAGGAGCCCTGTCTCACATAAAGTTGCTGGATGAATACACCTGCCCAAATAAGGCAGGGGCCAGCCAGCATCCCGCCGTTGGTTCCAAGCTTCTGTGTGTGCCCCTTTTGCAAAGCCACGTTAACCAAGGCAGCTGAGTTTTCTTTGTTTTATTGTTTTAACATCTTTATTGGAGTATAATTGCTTTACAATGGTGTGTTAGTTTCCGCTTTATAACAAAGTGAATCAGTTATACGTATACATATGTCCCCATATCTCCTCCCTCTTGCATCTCCCTCCCTCCCACCCTCCCTATCCCACCCTTCTAGGTGGTCACAAAGCACTGAGCTGATCTCCCTGTGCTATGCGGCTGCTTCCCACTAGCTATCTATTTTACATTTGGTAGTGTATATATGTCCATGCCACTCTCTCAATTCGTCCCAGCTTACCCTTCCCCCTCCCCATATCCTTAAGTCCATTCTCTAGTAAGTCTGCATCTTTATTGCCATCTTGCCCCTAGGTTCTTCATGACCATTTATTTTTTAGATTCCATATATATGTGTTAGCATATGGTATTTGTTTTTCTCTTTCTGACTTACTTCACTCTGTATGACAGACTCTAGGTCCATCCACCTCACTACAAATAACTCAGTTTCGTTCCTTTTTATGGCTGAGTAATATTCCATTGTATATATGTGCCACATCTTCTTTATCCATTCATCCGATGATGGACACTTAGGTTGTTTCCATTTCCGGGCTATTGTAAATAGAGCTGCAATGAACATTTTGGTACATGACTCTTTTTGAATTATGGTTTTCTCAGGGTATATGCCCAGTAGCAGTAGTGGGATTGCTGGGTCGTATGGTAGTTCTATTTTTAGTTTTGTAAGGAACGTCCATACTGTTCTCCATAGTGACTGTATCAATTTACATTCCCACCAACAGTGCAAGAGGGTTCCCATTTCTCCACACCCTCTCCAGCATTTATTGTTTCTAGATTTTTTGATGATGGCCATTCTGACCAGTGTGAGATGATATCTCATTGTAGTTTTGATTTGCATTTCTCTAATGATTAATGATGTTGAGCATTCTTTCATGTGTCTGTTGGCAATCTGTATATCTTCTTTGGAGAAATGTCTATTTAGGTCTTCTGCCCATTTTTGGATCGGGTGGTTTTTTTTTTTTTAACGTTGAGCTGCATGAGCTGCTTGTAAGTTTTGGAGATTAATCCTTTGTCAGTTGCTTCATCTGCAAATATTTTCTCCCATTCTGAGGGTTGTCTTTTGGTCTTGTTTACGGTTTCCTTTGCTGTGCAAAAGCTGTTAAGTTTCATTAGGTCCCATTTGTTTATTTTTGGTTTTATTTCCATTTCTCTAGGAGGTGGGTCAAAAAGGATCTTGCTGTGATTTATGTCATAGAGTGTTCTAAGGCAGCTGAGTTTTGAAAGCAACTACACACAGAAATTCTCAGGCAAGTAAGTTTCATTTAGAAATGAGAAGGTTACTGAAATTAATACAATTTTTTTCATCATTTCCCCCACCTGCACCCCCAAAAGAGAGTAAAGAATGATTTGAACCTGCCTTCTTAACATCTGACTCAAATTGAACTGAGGCCATTAGCTCTGCGGCTCTATAGAGGATCTGACAGGGTCAGATCCGTAGGGGTTCTCTTAACCCCACAAGAGTGGTTCAACGGGTGTTTCAGGTTCCCTGTGTGTTTGCTCCACCCTAGAGAAAGGTCCCTGGGGACTCACTTGATGGCCCTTTCCAGGCCGGCAATAAGACTGCAATTGGAACTCAGTTTAAAAACTAAAGAATTGCTTGTCATTTCAGCAAATCTCTCTGAGCACGATCTTCCTCCTTGGTAAAATGAAGAGAATCCCCCATGCCCTACTTTTGCACAAGAATGTTTTGCGGGGGGAAAGAAATCAGACAACGAGGAACGTGAATTGAACGTTTCCCATGATCTAGATCCTCTTCATGCGCTACAAGCGTCATCCCACCAAATCCTCATAATGACTTTATGAGATAGGCCCAGAGATCAGACTGAGGCTTGGAGAGGTTCAATGCCCAGCCCACGCCACATCAAGATGTGAACTGACTTCTAACTGCTAAGCTAGTTGACCTCCAATACAAGATATACGAAAACAGCTGTTAAACGGTAAAACACTAGGTCAGTGTCAAACATCACTATTATCAAAACTTCCTAGTTGTGAATCTTTATTTAAAAGTTACGTATGTGTATGTGAACATCTCCATATGTTATTTTTATAAGTTTCTATCTGTCGATTTGGGGGAGGGATGATGTTTCTATTCAGATGACTTTTTAGAGGGCAGTGACATATGATCAGTGTAGAATATCTGGAAAATAAAGGAAAGTCTTAAGACGTACAAATGTGATGGCAAGTCACACATAGAAGCATGTTGGTATAGCAGCAACCTTCATTTCCCCAAAAAAGAAGGCCATCAGAACACTCTTCTCGGAGGAAGAAGAGAGCCTTTTAGCACCAGCCCGTAGTTAGAACTCTGATATTTGTTAAGTAAGGGTCAGGATGACTAACTGACCATGGCAAGTTGTCATAGGTTTTCAGCTATCATTAGATCAGACAAATTAATAGAATTGCATGCTAAGCAACAAAATGATTCAACAGAGGTAGGATTTAGCAGACCCCTGGAGGCTCTAGATTTGCCAAGATCCCTGAAGAAACGTTCATTCCTAGCAGTTCCAGGTCTAAGAGAAAGGTTTCAGTGGCATAGCAGTCTGCATGGGGTGATGCAGAAGGTATTCATTTGTAAAGAATGACCTAAGTGTTGATTCAGGCGAGTGTTCATGCTGGGATCAGAGCAGAGGGTCAGAGAATTCCTACAATTCAGAGTTGTACCTTGGATGTCAGAAGGACATTTGAGGCAGGCATGTGTGTCGAAAGCAGGAGACGGGACTCTCGCCATGAGGGGCTCTTTCAAGGGAGGAGGTTATTGCTAGAAATGAGCAGTTGCGAATGTCTGGCTGTGCTTTTAGGTAACTGCTGGAAAGCAGAAATCTAAGGCAGGAGCTGGAGGATGCCACAGGACTGGAAAGACTTCCAAGGAGCCGGTCGAGATTGTGTTCAGAGGCGAAAGAATCTCCCAATGACGTCAAATGTATCTGCCCCTATCTCCATTCCTATCAAAAACGGAGGCCCGTTTTGTCTTTCCCTGAGCTCTCTTCAATTCCCTTCTAATGTCCACCTCACTCACACTGAGAGGAATAACATGTTCATATGGTTTCCCCAGACAGGGTCCGGGGGAAGGCCCTTCCCCAGGTTCAGGGGCTGCAATGAACCCTCTGAAACCACCACTTTTTCATTCAAACGTAATCCGAAACCATCTCTGTCCCCCCTCGATTCTTTCTATGGCATCTTTAGCTACTAACTCGGAAAGGGAAAATTCCAGGAAAAAATATGATCGTGGTGGGGTACACACACACAAACACCCCACACCCTCAAAGTGCCCCCAGTGACATGTTAAGCACTCTTCCCAAGATTGTGAACAAAGTTCCCCAATCCCATTAATCCTACCCTTTGTTCTTTTGTAAGCACGAGCAATCCAGTTCTCTGATTCCTGGTCAGTTATGGGCCACACGTGGAAGCAGAGAAAGAACTGACCTTAATCTCTTTCAAGAAAACTTTCCTGCGCTGACAGTTCATGTAATTCTGCGACCTGAATCCTCTTAGACACTTAGTATAGACCTAACTATACTACACTTACGTTACACATAAGGGAGCATGAACTTTGTCACTGAAACAAAATAATTTGCTTAAAGAACAGGCACCCCTTAAGCACAGAAGGTGCTTAATACATCCATTAATTTAAAAAACACAAACCCTAGAATGTCTGAAATATCACGAAAGGAAGTTTTCAATTAATGTAATTATTTCCTATTATACACTAACCAAACAGTAATTTGACCTTATCCCAGTCTTCCTTTCCTTAAAAAAAAGAAAAAAAGCCTTTTCAATTTTCATTTCTCATAGGCAGTTTTAATAAAGAACCACTAAAAAGGAATCAAACAGGGAGATTTATACTGCTCAGGCAGCAAAATTAGCAAACAATTAGCAAACAATGAAAGCCTTATGAGGTGCTAAGGGTTAAAAAAAGAAATATAAACTGTAATCCTTGCCTTCAGTGCTTTACCACCAAATAATCGCTGTTATCCACTGCTTCATTCATTCTTTGCCTCATGCTAGCAACTTTACAGCTGTTCTCTCCTTCCCTCTTCTTCCAATAATTTCTTCATTCATCAATAGTAACCATCAACCAACGCTTCTTATCAACTGCATAGTGACCATAGCGTCATCACAAGTTACCTCCTATAGGTTATCTCACTATTGTATCGGTAAGCCCGACAAAATGCTATTTTTAGAGCATAGAAGCACATTTACTTACACAGCGCACTTAAATCATCCAGCCTCCTAATCCCAATTTTGATATGCCTATATCCTTACTCTCAGAAAAAAATTCACACACTGGTCAATCATTTCACACAAGAAAGGAGTTCGGTGCTAATACGCAATAAACTTCCTTTCAAAGAAATTTGGATATTTTCTCAGTAACGCTTTACTTTTTCTCCCTTTAGATTATGAAAGACAGAGAGCGGTACATTTACTGAGTATGTTTAAAATTAATTTTGACTTCCTGTATTTCTGTTTACACATATTATTAGTTATGGGCAAAAACTATTCAGGGTATAGTTAATGAGATATTTTTCTCAAGCGATCATATTAAGTTTCCGATGAGGAGACTGGACTTGCATTTTTGATGTGTTCATTTAAATTTCAGGATGAATGTTCTGAAGAAGAAAAGATATTCTGATACAAACTTAGGAAGTAAATTGGATTTCTTTTTTTGTTTCCATTTCTTAAATGAGATCTAGCTGAGACTAAGTTCTACTCCACGTCTGATAGTAATGAAACTGCTTCCTCTTTTTTCTAGCATTCTATGTCATTCTTCCCTGATTGCCAAATAGACGTTTTATTTTTATAAATAGCCATGTCTATATTAAACACAGTATATGTTTTAAAATAATTTAATAAACCCTGTAAAATACTTAGGTGGATGTCTTCCCCAGGAAGAGTCCGAGGGTTGACCCAAGTTGGGGCCACTTACAGTGACGACCTAGCAAAATCATCAGGAAGAAAAACTATTCCAAGTTCCTGTTCTAGTGATTTCATTTACAGAATGCCAGCTGGTTTCAGCATTTCCCTGTTTATATGAATACTAATTTCAAGCTTTTCAAAAAGACCTTATTTGATTCAAGAAAGTCAGGAATAGGACATGAGCGGGGTGGTCCAGTGTCTAATGCAGCCTATGTGCCCCAGGTTTAAAACCAACTGGTGAGATTCTGGCGTCTGCAGAATGTCTACGGGATCTTTATTCTCGGCTATATAATCTTCCAGATTAAACCAGAAATAATCTGTGTGCACCCCCAGAAAGTAAATAATCAGACATAGCACTGCTCTTCCCCCTTTCCTACTTTCACACATGACTTTGCATGTGATTATCTAAAGCCTGCAGACCTGATATTTTCCCTAAAATTCTGCCATTACAAGTATTATATAACCAGCCCGCTGTTGTTTCCAATTTAAAAATATTTTTAAAAAGTGACAAAACCAGCCTGCAATAAATGTGATTTAAGGATAAGTCTCTAAGTAACCTCACCAAGAGATTCTGAGGTAGATCTAAAACCCTTTCTTCCAACTCTTTGCCCATTTGATCCATCTTTAAATACTTTAAAATACATGATGCATAATAAAGAAATATTTCTGACCTGAGTATATGGAGGTTCCCTGGGACTGAGGGAAGTTCACTTGAAATAGATTTTTCTTTTTTGCAAGAACTCAGCTTTTGCAGAATTAGTTCTGATGCGAATAATATTTTCACATAATTGCAAACACATTTTTTATTCTGTGTAAATTTCTAGAGATGTTGCTCAAGGAAGCAACTAATGCAAAGCTTTGTTAAGAGGAAAAAAGCATATTTAAAATTAAAAAAAAAAAAGTAAACACTGAAGTTACCTAAAAGGAGCCTGAACACAGAAACAGCATGGGAACATTTTTGAGAGTTGAAATGTATAAAAATATGTATATTTTTAAAAGTTCATAAATTGATCCAAATAGATATGCGATGAAAATGACATCACAAAACAGTGTGGAAACATGGACAATTCAATACTTGACATTGAGATAACTGGGTAACATTTTAGGGGGAAAATTCATATCTTACTCCAGGAAAAATTCCAAATGGATAAAATATTTGAAGACACACAATGAAAAGTACTCAAGCCCTAGAAGAAAAACAGGATGCTCTCTTAACGATGTTGGAGTAGAGTTGCCCTTTCTAACAATGAGTCAAATCCAAAAGCCATAAAAGAAAATACTGATAAATTCAAATACATAAAAATAAAACTTTTGTGTCAAAAGCCATCCCCAGCAAGTCAAAAAACAAATGAGAATGTAAGATAAAAATATTTCCAACTCACATTACTAATGAAGATCTTACCTTCCTAATATAAAAGAGCTTTTTCAAATAAGGGGAAAAAAGGACTAACAGTCCAATAGAAAATCTTAAAAGAGATAAACAATGAAAAACGGAGATACCGTTTTTCTCCAATCACTCACCAAAAAAATCTAAAAGATCGATAACACCAAATGGAAAATAAACATTCTCATATATTGCTGATGGAAGGGTAAATGAGTGCAATCTTTAAATTAAGCGCAAACACAGGGCATTTTTGCAACAGCTACTAAAATGACTAATGACCGTATCTTTGACTAGCAATTCTACCTTTCTGGGTATACTTGGGAAGTAACCACCCATAAGGTTGTTCACTGCAGAACTGTTTATTAAAAACAACCCGAATGTCAAATAAATTATGGTACATCCATACAGTGTAATATGATACAGCTGTACATGAAAAAACAAAAGTGAAAGGATTTGCATATTGATACAAAAAGATCTCCAAGAAATAAGTGAGAAAAAAGTGAAGGCTCAACAGTGTACTCGGGACTTTACCTTTTGTGTAAAAAGAAACAAGCCCAAAAAAAAAAAAAAAAAAGAAACAAGCCCATATCGAAATTTGCTCATATGTGCTAAAGAACTCATGTATACACATACACAAGTAATAATAACTTGCAGGGTGTGCCGTCTCTGTGCGCGGTCTAGGATGGTTGAGAATTAGGTGGATGGAGAACAGGATGGGACGAGAAATATTTAATTTTTGGATTCCTTGATTTTTTTTTCAATAATGTACTTATTACCTAAAAGTTGGATTAAAAATTCCTCCCCCATAGTGCTCTGCACCCTCCACAATATTACAAAGTACAGAGTTGACTTGCTATGCTTGAGACTTCTCCAAGGGCAGATGTTATGTATCCCCAGTGCCCCTCACCAAACCTAATACTTAGTAGATGCTCAAGAAAATGTTTGTTGAACCAAATAAATGTACAATTCATGTTTTAAAAAAAATAATGTACATATTACCTATTAAAATAGTACTGAATAAGCATAAATTAATCTTTTTACCCAATCTAAGCCTAGTAGATGATTACATTTACTTTGCTTCTGGTTATTTCTCTTTTTTTTAATTAATTAATTTATTTTTGTCTGCCTTGGGTCTTAATTGCTGCACGCAGGCTTTCTCTGGTTGCGGCGAGCGGGGGCTCCTTTTCGTTGCAGTGCGCGGGCTTCTCATTGCGGTGGCTTCTCTAGTTGCAGAGCACAGGCTCTAGGTGCGAGGGCTTCAGGAGTTGTGGCTCACAGGCTCTAGAGCGCAGGCTCAGCGGTTGTGGCGCAAGGGCTTAGTTACTGCGTGGCATGTGGGATCTTCTCGAACCTGTGTCCCCTGCATTGGCAGGCAGATTCTTAACCACTGCGCCACCGGGGAAGTCCCTGGTTGTATATCTCTTTAATGACATATTTTCTAAAACTGCACATTGTGCTACAAATTGAAAATTAATTAGGTTTGGTTGAATTTTATTATTGAAAGAGTAAATTGCAAAAATCATTTAAATTATATATTTGACTTTTCTTAGTCAATTTAGGACTTCCTTGTACAACTCTGTCCTTACGTCTCAGCTTCAAATAAAATCATTCCATTTTGCTTAGAAATATATGAGAACATTCACTGATCAAGGAACCTAACCTTATCACTGAAGAATTTTAATCAATTTGAAGCTTTTACAAACATATAAGCATGTTAAAGGTTTTTTTTTTTAACATTAAACTTTACTTTTTTTATCCTGTGCATGAGGTTTGACTGAAGAAGTTAATTGGCCATCTGCATTTCTTATCCATTTTTCCTCCTTCTTAAGTGGAATATAATATCTTACTTTTACCCTAAGATTAAAAATCATTTCCTCAAGTGATAGGAAATTGTCTTCGGCATGTGCACGGACATATTCCTGCCTACATAAGATTATCACCAAACTACACCATATTTATCTTAGAGATCTTTTGACTCTTTACCTTTAAATACAATAACTTTTTTAACCTGACACAATTAAGATTTTGTCCCAGTTCATTCCAAACACAATTTAAACTTCAAGAACTCCCTTAAAAAGAAGCCTGTTCCTCCAGCCGCCTCCAGATATCTTTTGAAACACTTTCCGTAATTATTAAATAATTAATTGTATGATGTGTCATTTCATGTTTTGTCTCCCCGATAGAATACAAGGATATGAACCAAATCTCTCCTGTTTGCCACAATGTATTCCCCAGGCCGGAAGAAAGTGTAACAAGGGGCCTTGTACATAGTACATTCTCAATATACATTTGTTGAATAAGTGGACAAATGAATTGCCTTTGTTTCTCCCCGACATCTTTTCAAGTGTTAGAAATCTAAGCTCCTGGAGGCCGAGGCTGTCTCAGAGGAGTTGGGAAGGTATAGCTAGCACAGCACCAAACCAAATTATATAGCTTATTCATTTATTACTAATGAAGCAA